TTAATATAAGGCATTAATACATTACCCCATATTTCCATGTTTACTTGAAAGCATGGCTTTTTATAAAGGACATCTAATATTCTACTAGGATTAATTACAGCCCTTACTGTATCACACACCCAGATAACTCATGGACATGAGATGCTCATACTGCCTTACCAGCTAAGCAAGTGTGCTCATTCCTGAATTCATGTTCTGATCATTATATGGACAGTACTCTTAAATAGCACGAAAAGTACTGCTGTTCTTGGCTTATTAGATAGCCCATCCTTTGAAGACTCTTCCAAAGTACATCCCCTCACATATGGCTTACACTTCTGTTCTGCTTTCGTTAATGAGGTATGGTAAGTCTTAGCATGCAGTTATCCAGCCAACTTGACAGTCTGGTACATTCAGTTTATTAGAGGGCAGAATAGTTACAGTTTCCATAGCCACCAAATTGACCTGTATTTTAAGTGGTTTAAATTCTCCAGGGCTGAAAGGTACCTCTGTGTTTTCCTCTTGTAATAATGAAGAACATGTTCTTTTTAATGATGGTGACAGTAGACATTCCCTCATCCATTGTTACTTGGAAGCAATTACATTAAATCAGTTTCCATGAAATAGGGGGGAAGAGAAGGAAAAGACCAAGACATTGGCACACTCTAATACTATGAACAAGCTATTGAGGAACACTGAAAAAGGAGGGGGAAATAAAAAGTAAGTAATTCTCAGCTAAAATCACAGAATCACAGAATATGCTGAGTTGGAAGGGACGCATAAGGATCACTGAGTACCACCTTTAGCCCTGCACAGGACCACCCCCAAGAGTCACACCATGTGCCTGATAATATCATCCAAACACATCTTGAAATCTGTTAGGATCAGTGCTGTGACCACTGCCCTGGGGAGCCTGTTCCAGTGCCCAACCACCCTCTGGGTGAAAAACCTTCTTCTAATACCTAACCTAAACCTCCCCTGACACAACTTCAGCCATTCTCTTGGGTCCTGTCCCTGGTCACCATAGAGAAGAGATCAGTGCCTGCCCCTCCTCTTCCCCTCGCAAGGACATTGTAACTGCAGTGAGGTCTCCCCTCAGTCTCCTCCTCTCCAGGATGAACAGAACAAGTCACCTCAGCCACTCCTCATCTTCATTGCCCTCCTTTGGACACTCTCCAAGAGCTTAATATCTTTCCAATATTGCAGTGCCCAAAACTGCACACAATATTCAAGGTGAGGCCACCCCAGTGCAGAGCAGAGCAGGACAATCTCCTCCCTCGACTGGATGGTGATGCTTTGCCTGATGCCCCCCAGGACACAGTTGGCCTTCCTGGCTGCTGGGGCACTGCTGACTCACATTCAACTTGCCTTTGACCAGGACCCCCAGGTCCCTTTCCATGGCACTGCTTTCCAGCACCTCATTCTCCAGTCTGTCCGTACATCCAGGGTTGTCCCATCCCAGCTGCAGAATCTGGCACTTTCCCTTGTTGAACTTCATCTGTTTGGTGATTGCCCAGTCCTCTAATTTGTCAAGGTCTCTCTGCAGGGACTCTCTGCCTTTGAGAGAGTCAAAGATTCCTCTCAGTTTTGTGTCATCTGCAAACTTGCTTAGTGTCCCTTCCAGTCCTGCATCCAAGTCATTTATGAAGATGTTGAAGAGCAGAGGGCCCAAGATGGAGCCCTGTGGAACCCCACGAGGGACAGGTCACCAGTCTGATGTTACTCCATTCCCTCTGTGCTTGACCCGTGAGCCAATTGCTCACCCACCACATGATGTGTTTATCCAGCTGTGTGCTGGAAATTTTGTCCAGAAGGATCCTGGAAGAAAAAGAATTAAAAGCTTTACTAAAATTTAAAATTATTAAGTCAGTTGGCTTCCCTTGAAAGGTTATGTATTAGCAGTGATGGGACCCCAGGAAAAGCTTCAACTACCACCAGCTGAGGGACCTTGGTAAACTGAGAGCTATTGAACACTCGCAACAGAGGGCTGTGGTGTCAGGATTGAATGTCAGGACCTGCAGCTGTGAATTGTTGCATCAGGAGAGGGTAGAGGAGACCTCTACACCATCCTGTTGATGCTGAAAAGTCAGAGAAGATACTCTCTAGACTCGTTTTGAGTATAGAAAGCCAAAAATCACACATGTTTATTTCAGCACTAGGTGCATCGGAAAAAATTCCAGTGGATGCATCTGGAATCACACAGGTTTCATAACTTGATACAACTCTCTAATTACATACCTCACCTGTTACATCCCATTTTCCACCATCATTTGCCCCCCTCAAATTGCTTCGTAGGTTGTAAAGCGACCCCTGGTGACAAGCATCAACACCTTTCCTGCTATGTTCTTCTCTTGACTCCTTGGTTCTGGCATCGTTTCGTGCCTTCTGGAATTGGCTCAAGGCCTAAACCCAGTCTCATGGATCTGTTTTGCCGCCTTCTCTTCTTCTTGCTTTCTATCACTCTCTTCACAAATGCAAGCAACCATCACTGTTTTTATCAAAATTCTTGCCTGTAGAGGATCTTCACAAGAAATGATAAACTATGCACTTTTCCTTGAGAACTTCCAACCTTACTAAAATTCATGAGTTCTGTGGCTAGCACTCTCCATTTAAAATGCTTAGTCTAAAATACATAAATTCTATAGCTAAAAATTTCTAATAAAATACTCAATTTTATGGCTACACTATCATCCAGTGTCATTGCTTGGAGCACAAAACAATTCAGAAACAACACAATCTTAATTTCTGAAGTATTATTTAGTATGGAAGCCCTACAGCTAATGTCTACCAAAACATGCTACATATACTAGGACACAACCATTTTCCAGCATGACATGGGCAGATTTCTGCTAACATATCTGAGGTAAAGATAAGAGACTGAAATACTGAAAATTGCAGGGATTTTACCACAAGAAACCAAAAACAATGAGGAAATGTATCATGACATTAAGAGAAACAGATTGGCAGAGATTTATGTTGTTTACCTTCACTGACATCTGATCCCAAACAGCACCCTCATTAGCTCATTTGCTTTAAGTGATTATCTTACTGTTCCTTGGCTAGACTTAAAAGTTATGTAAATCAGCGTAGAGAAGATACAAAATTTCATCAGGTGCTATTTAAATTTACTTCCTGGGAATATTGCCTTCAGTACAGAAGGAAGAGAATCAGATTTACTGGTTTTCGTGGTGATCACCTGTTCTGAACTGCTTGCACCACAGACATATTTTGGGGTACAATACATAGTATTCTACTGACCTTAATGAAGCAAATGTTCATCAGAATAAAATATTGCATTATGTTTAATTATTACATTTTTAATATAGGAGATTATATTATATTATATAGGAGACTATACTAGATTATACTTTTGTTTGAGACAATGCTCTAGTTGTCACAAAACTGGGAGAAATCTAGCCTCAACTAGGGCTCCTGATCCCTGCGACGCCCTGCCTGGACCCTAGGACAGGTCAAGAACTGGTGCTGGCTCACTGGGGTTACACTCAGATACCAACAAACAATTGCTCTCTGGGTATCAAGTGAAAGCATCCTTCTGGCCAGTGTTAAAAAGGTCCTATGTCAGCTCATAATCAGGGATGTAGTTACAACATATGTTAAGCATTCATATTTCCACTTCAGCACAAAGAACAATTACTGGACTTTACACAGTGAGAGGGACAGAGCTGAAACAATAGGACCACCATCTAAGGCAACAACAGACAGAAGGGTTTTCTCATTATACAAGCTTTACAGGATTATTTGGCAAGTTTTGTGTGTACAGCAAAAAACTGTGGGGAAGATGCCAGCAGGCTGAAGGAAACAGTTTGGTTCAAGAAGCAGGGAAGAGTAAGTGCGCTCCCCAGGGAACAAAATTATGTGGGTGTAGTGAACCACCTACTGAGGTTTGTTCTCCTGTGCTGAGGGAAGCAGGACTTTTGTTTGATCTTGAGACTTACTGCTGTTCCCCTATCTGTTTAGGACTGATCATACTTGTGTAGATGCTGAGCTCCCAAGTGTCTGCAAAAGAGAAAAGGAACTAAATTTCAATGTTTCTGATCTCTGCAGCTGAATTCACTCTTGCCTTCATTTGTCTATCTTCACTTGCACAATCAGTTTGTCTTTTCAGTTCAGATTATCTTCAATTTGGGGTAGGAGTTGTCAGAGGCATTTTTTTAAACAAGTACCATGTCTGCCCATATCACTCTGGCAATAATTATAGATCTGGATTGATTTCCTTGGATTGTGTGTCTTGGGAAAAAGTGAAAAGAAATAAACTAGAGGTATTACATTAGCAGAGATCACAGATTTTGAATGAAGCTGGTTGGTGCAGTAATTTAGATTCACATTTGTTAAAAATAGCCGTCAAAGTTTTATGTCAATCTGTTAGCACAATGTTCAGTTTATCTTTCTCCTCAGTAAGGTTGCTTGGAAACAGGGAAATAGTTGGAGAAATCCTTTTGTGAAAGTGTGGTAAAACTTGAGAAATCAATACACCCACTATGGTTTTATTCAAAGATTTAGAACCTCTGAGATAAAAAACCCCAACAAAACAAACAAACAAACAAACCAACTTCTAATAATTTTAAACACCCTGGTGCAACCCTAACAACTTGTAGATCAGTCTTTGTTAAGCACACGGCAATCTGCCACTTTCACAATTGTCGTGTACACTAGTATCTCTAACCTGATGCAGGTAACAGTCACATTCAAGGTAAAGTTTCTCTTGCAACATGCACACTTAGGACTGATGTCTGACTGGCTTCACTGAGAGAAATTAAAGCAAACTATTTTTAGAAACAGAACCATGAAATTGCAGCATGAAGTGCAGTAAGAGCACGGAAATATCTGTCCCTGGAAGACAAACAGAAGTCTCTTGGTCAGAGTAGCTCATTCAAATGATGCTACTGAAGACACAAACATCTGGGTTTGTTGTCAGCTCATATACTGCTTCACATCATGCATGATAAAGGTAAGGAGGCAAGAACAGGCAGCAGCAGAGAAATGTTGGGTCGGTTATATTAACTGGCCAAGGGAAGAAATGGACATGCAAGATTTTTCAGAAATACAGTTCCAAACGGTGAGTTTCTCATTTGACTGTGCTGAATCCCTGTGCTGATGAATAATGGCTTTTATGGAACACTTACAAAACATAAGCATCAATCACTACAAAGAGACAAATGGCTAGGTTGCAGGGTTTCTTCTAATACAGAGAATTTAACAGAAGTTTTAATTTTTTTTCTTTATTGGATTATACAGAGGTTTAAGAACCCAATACAACCTTAATCATGTGGAAAAAAAAATCACTAAGGCTATACCCCTGAAGTTCTTGGGGCACATGTACAGGTTTGAATGGACTGCTTGATCATGCTCCATGACTCTTTGCCAGCTGCATCTTGCCACAGCTGACCCTGCTCCACACCGCTCTCCACTCCCCACAGTTGAGCTCCTCTATTTTCCAAATTTCTCAGCATCTCGCCTTCATAGGCACTAGATAAGCACAAAAAAAAAAAAAAAAAAAAAAGCAGAACTGAGTATGCTGAATACCAAGCCATGAAAGTAACAAGCAGAGGTGGCTGAAAAATGTTTCAGTGGGGTCAGCTGCACCATTGTCCAGTCAGAACTTGAGGCAGATGCAGGCTGAACAAGAAAAAGCAGGAGCAGGAGAAGACAGTGCCTGCTTGAAGAGCAGGGTGAACAGTTTATATTGAATAATTAATATGATGCAATTCACTATTCTCATTCTTCATAGATTGTCTCACAGCAGGCTTATTATTTTCCTGTTAATTTTCTGAGGGAAAAAAAGATCCAGGTTGCTTTCTGCCAGTGCGGTTGTTTGCCATCAATGGGGACAGGGTAAGTAAGCATTCACTATGCAGACTGATGAGTTGCACTGGTTACTTCTGACCATAAAAACATGCCTGTTTTCTGTCATCTTACATGGAAAGTCACATTCTTCAAAGCCTGGTCCTGTTGCAATTGAATTTACTCCAGAATCCCATTGACTTGAATGATATGAAACAATATCTCTCAGTCATATACTCAAATCAAATCAGTGCAGCACAGGTACTCACACTGAAAGCAAAGCCTGAGAGGAGTTTATACTCCACATGCATGCATTTTCCTGTCCAAAAGGTTACATATACACAGAGGACACGACAATAAAATGTACAGGTCAATTTCTCTTCTTTGGTAGATCTGAGTAAGAGAAGTATAATTCCCTTGTAGCCAATTGTTGTTTCACATTCACATATTTAACGGCAAAATTTGACACAAGGTAGGAAGGCCAAGAGCCAATATCAAATAACCTTTTGGTTTTTGTGGCCTTCAGCTAAGCTAAAACGACTCAAATAATACAGCATGCAATTTCAATAACCCTACAGGGATGCTGTTCATGAGCAAATGCAAATTATGGTGAACTTATGCATCTCTGGAGATTTACTCAAAGAGAATACAGAAATGATTGCCTTTGGGATGAATGAAAGCTGCAGTACTCACTGTGCTATATCCACATTAGCTTCTATGAGCAAGACATGAAAAATTATGGCAACAGAAAGAAGAGAATTGTTCTCAGGAGGGTTCCAAAAGAGCTGCTCCATGGGTGAATGCTCCTCAGAGAGCTGGAGTATCTCCAGGGCAACTTGTTTCTATGACGCTCATGACACAAGCATAAGGTATTGACCCGTACAACCCTATAGATGTAGGCCTTGAATTTTGGCAGTCTTTCAGTATAGGCTCTGACTGTACACTGTTGTAGCACTGTTTTCAAGAGCCTTTAATTCATGGAGAAAATTTAGCAGCTCTGATACGGACACAAGCATATGGATTCAGATGAATGTAGCCTCTTCACTAGTGATGCGTATGTTCACATGCTAAGGTGTTCAGGGACACTGGGTAAATTTAAGCATAGGCAAGACAGGAAACAGTCATCAGGAAACTGTTATCAAGTCAAGAAAACACATGGATTAGAATGTGGGTTTTTTTCAGGCAAAATAACCTTAACTGTATTTAATTTACAAATTACTACTGCAAGGATCAGTCTGGGTCTCTTTCTTAATAATGTGTAGCAGAAATGCTAATACTTCAGGAGGCCGGAGTGTGTGTGTGGTGTGAATTATAGTTCCAGTCACCTGAGTTCCACCTCACTCTTAATCAGCTATCACCTCTTATGACCACTCTTTATAGTCTGTTTTGTTGCTCAAGGCTGGTGGGAGAGTGTGCTTTAGTTTACTCCGTGAAAGGTTCCATTCACCTCCCAGAGTGTTATTACACTTGAAAACAGAGCAATGCTAATTAATTTGAGACAGAGAAGTGGCTACAAAGTAAAACAGTTTCTTTTCTGCAGTGCCTCGTCTTTGTTGTGATCCACAAGATGGTCTCCCACAAAAGGGGCCTTTCAGAGGGCACTCCAACTGTTCAAGCAGAAGGCTTTATTCAGAGGGATCTTTAATTAGCAGCTGTAAAGAAATGGTGGTGTGGAAAGTTGCATAGAATACACTTGGGGTTATGATACTGAAAGCAAAGGAGGAACTAGAACAATAATGCTAGATAACGGAAGAGGGATATGAGTAGGAAATTACAGATGAGTTTTCAAGATGACTTGATTGAACCATTCACTGAAACCGATCTTTATACAGCCTGTTTGAGATTTCTAGCCCAGGCACTGTAAGTCATGTGCTAGAAGGAAACTGTTTTCTGGCCTACCTTGTATTTCCAGGTATTTGTTAAGCACAACAGGTGCTTTGCTAATGGCTAAGAGATGCTAAACAACTTTACTAGCAATGTTAAGTTCAGTAGTCATAATCTGTGAAGTTTGCAACTCAGACATGTGTACATATATGATATACAGAGTCTAGAATTCCCCGGGGGGGAGGGGGAATCATCTTATACAGAGACGAGTTTCACAGACTTATTAACCCCTTCCTTAAGTACCAAAGAACAGCTAGCCACTGCATTTAGAATTGGCCAGGTTAAAGAAAAATTGCTTGTGAACCTGGAGAAGTCCCGTTAAAATATCCATTTACCTCAGGAGCTCGGCGGGGGTGGGGGAGGGCCCTCTCCAGCGCTGTGCTGCAGACATCTCTCCAGACATAACTCTACACATTGCTGTATTACAGTAAACCTCCAGAAACATAAACTATTCAGTTTTGAGTTGTCCATTTCATGGAAGGACAAAAAGGTAAATAGCCTCTTGCTACATTTGTACATTTCTTTTTCTGTCTTGAAACTGAACAGTGCTGACCTTGTTCTGATCTTGAACCAGCAGTTCAAAGGAGATCTAGAAAATAACGTAGAGAGTCATTTACATGGAGAAATTCAGAAAGCTTCTGTGCTCTTCCCCTTGGTGCCCGTTTTATTAAGAAACTGCGAAAACTGAAGGGAACTGCAAAGACGACAGCAGCGTGCTGCCCTCCTCAGGCAACCTGCCGTGAGGAGCTCACTGCTGCCTTGAGACCAGCCACTGACTCAGGACAGGCTCCACTACAAGAAAAAACTCTATTTAATTTTAACAACCATGACACAACTCGGGAACGAAAAGCCGGCCACTACAACCGGTGACGCTTCCGCTCTCCCTGTGAGGGCCAGGGGGGCGATGGCCTTTTCCTCGGCTCCTCCAGGGCCTTAAAATGGCGGCGGGCGAGCCGAGAGGAGGGCGGGAGTAGCTCCTGCCTGGAGCCCACAGGGGTGCAGACTGCGCTGAAGGAGGGGAAGGGGGAGCTCAGGGAGGGCTGGGGAGCTGCCAAGCACCTGCCTCGCTGCGAAGGGCGCTCCGGGCGGCGCGGAGGGGAGCGAAGGGGGAAGAGCAGGGGCATGCGAAGGTTGCAGCCTTCCCCCTCTCCAGCCGGAGCAGCGTGTAGGACAGCCAGCTGGGGAAGCTCGTTTGTTTCGGGGAAGGGCGCAGCCGAGAGAATAGTAATTAACAATTTCAACAAAATACCGGCTAAGAGTCGATGACCGAGTTTGGCCCGGCCTCTAAAAGAGACGTGTGCTCTCAAACTGCTCCCTTGGCAGCCAGGGAGACTGTGCACTGGTTTTGCACTATAGTGCCTCTTGTAGCAGATGTAAAAGATGCTGCCTTCAGGTTTTCCCGAAAGTTGAGCCTTGTATTTACACATGGGAAAATAATAAACAGACCGCAGAGCAGAATTATCTGCTTGACCCATAAAAATGCTAACCTTAAAGAGAGTTGTTCACATTCTGTGCATACGCCCAGTCAAAGAAAGTAATTTTGTCTCTGATATAATGCCCAAGCTTTCAGTATATGTAACACCAGGAGAGATGCTTAGGTATTGGATGCTTTTGTATTGGAGAAGCTGAGACAAGCTGAAATAAAGGTGGCCACTGTCCTTCAAACTGACTAGACTCAAACATGATTTGGGGTGTTTTGTTTGTTTCTTTGTTTTTCCTATTTCCTTCAGACTTACACACAGAAACTAATATGCCACATGTGATCTAGTAGTACAATGGCTTTTCCTTCCTGTCATTTTTGTCTGTGATTTTGGGACCCCAGAAGATAACTGCTCCTCAAAGGATATATGACTATACCTTGCACTTAATAACAGGAATTTTGAGATTCTCAAGAACCCTTATTTTTGCTCTGGTTTCTCAAGGTACTTGAACCTCTCTGGTGACCAGCAATAGGACCTAAGGGAATGGCATGAAACTACGTCAGAGGAGATTTAGACTGGATAGTAGAAAAAGGTTCTACACCCAGAGGGTGGCTGGTAACACCCCAGGGAAGTGGTCATAGTACCAAGCCCGATGGAGTTCAAGAAGACTTTGGACAATGCTCTCGGGCACATGGTGTGACTCTTGTGGCTATCTTGCATAGGGCCAGGAGTTGGACTCGATGATCCTTGTGAGTCCCTTCTAACTCAGGATATTCTATGATTCTATAAACTTGAGTTTTACATGGCACAAGTGGTAAGATTTATCTGCAAAAGCACAGCCTTGTAACGCCTGTAGCCACCTCCTTTAATTTTTTGTGAAAGGCTCCATGGGATTCACAAAGACTGCAGCAGACTAGCACACCGTCCTGCAGTGATCTGCCACACCACCACTTGGTGGAGGACTCACCACACTTGAAGCTGCTGTAGCTGGAGGTGGGAAAGGAGGAGATATTTCTTATGTCCTACTGAGCTGCATCAGGGATTACTGGCTGACATCTGCAGCTCAACTCAATATTGAGTCCAGACAGCTGACTGTCAAGCTGAAGTGTCTGACATGGGGGACAGTCAGTCTGCATGGAAAATTTTGTACTTGCTCGTGTTGCAGTTACTTCTCCTGGCCTCAACCCTGATTTCTTCCCAGAGCAGGAAGCAAAGCTCCTTCCAGCCCATTTTTTGTGGACTCAAGGAATTCAGTTGAAGATTGGCTTAAGTATTTAAATTTTCTGATTTCCTATAGTATTTTGATCTACCTTTTTTGGATTCTGCTGAAGCTACCACTAATGAGAGCTACAAGTGTAAATCTAGGATGTGATTCGGAGAGTCAAGTTCTCATTTTGGTGCAGTGTAAAGCATCTGTTATGAATTTAGCACATGCAACCTCTGTCACTGATACTAAACTACGTGAAATGACTAGAAGGCATGCCACATACATGAACTAAGCAAGCCAATATATATTCTCAATTATACTACTGTAAAGGTAAGGTAGTTCATTAAATTCTAGTGGTGCCAGGTTTATTCCACTGATACACTAATTTAGTCTAATTTAAGAATATATTTAAAAATGTGTTTGCATTTTTCTTTAGTGTGGTTGGTCTGAGGCTTGGGAAGCCAACTTGTGAGTTTACAGAACATTCACTATTAATCCACAAAGTGGTGCTGTTGGTGTATTTTGGATGTACTGCAGCAGAATATAGAAATGTTTTTAGACTGTTTAATTTAGCTAAACTTTTGTCCAGGTGGCATTGTAACTAAGGACAGATTTTAAACAAAATACTTTTCCATTCGCTCAGCCTTTCTGAAGAATAAGTGTTCTTCTCTAATTGCAATTCCATGTATCCAGATTAGTTTTTGTGTTTTCCCAACATGCTTATGTCATATTATTTTTGTTTATAAGTGAATGTTAGTGTTCTTCGACACAGTGCAGGACTGGAGAGGTCTGTCTGTCCTTGTCATGTCTTTTGTTGCTCAGTGTATGAAGTAGTGTGACCTGAGGTTTTAGATGACGGCTGGGGACTCTGCAGTCTGGAAAGGCTTTCTTCAGTGTGAGGTTCTGCACGCAGGGTAACCTCTTGCTCATCAAAGTTTGTGTGATAGTCATTGCTGTTTTCTACTTCCTGACTGTGCAGAAACAACACAGTTGATACTGGGTCAAATTCCTCTACATATGCCACCACATGCTCTTGTCTAGATTCTGCCACTAGTAACTCTCTGAGAATAAGAGAATATTTTAGTTCCAATGCCCATAAACTCCTGGACTTTCTGAGGTGACCAATGAATCCTGTTAATACTATTCTGCACCACCCTAATAAATTACTCTTACTCCTTTAAAATTTACTGCTGTATTGGGTATTCACGGAATCACAGAATGTGCTGAGTTGGAAGGGACCCATAAGGATCATCAAGTCCAACCCTTTGCCCTGCACAGAACCATCCTCAAAAGTCACACCATATGCCTGAGGTGTGAGATATCCAAACATGTCTTGAACTCTGTCTGTCACACCTGGTGCTGTGACCACTTCCCTGGGGAGCCTTTTCCAGTACTCAATGACCCCCTGGGTGTGGATCCTTTTTATACTACCCAGTGGAAGCCTCCCCTGACACAACTTCAGCCATTCCCTTGGGTCCTATCACTGGACACCACAGAGAAGAGATCAATGCCTGCCCCTCCTCTTCCCCTTGCAAGGACATTGTAACTGCAGTGAGGTCTCCCCTCAGTCTCCTCTTCTCCAGGATGAACAGAACAAGTCACCTCAGCCACCCCTCATCTTCATTACCCTCCTTTGGACACTCTCCAAGAGCTTAATATCTTTCCAATATTGCAGTGCCCAAAACTGCACACAATATTCAAGGTGAGGCCACCCCAGTGCAGAGCAGAGCAGGACAATCTGCTCCCTCGACTGGCTGGTGATGCTTTGCCTGATGCCTCCCAGGACACAGTTCACCCTCCTGGCTGCCAGGGCACTGCTGAGGAGAATTGTGCTGCCTTTACCTGAATTGCTCATTTACCAGCTGCAAGTTCACAAGAATCAAGTTCCTTGTCAAATAAATCAGCACTTTCAAAACCCCCTTGATTTGTAAATCAAACCTTTTTAAGAGCCCAGAGCTAAATTTCGCCTAGAGATTTCAACTTGTAATGAGCATGCTGCATCCTCTGTCACTTCTTTTCAACTGCCCTGTATACCAGTACCAGGGCCACAATATGGCAGAGTGTACTTACTTCCAAGATGAGCATTGTTCAGTACTTGCTCTCACTGGGTATGTGGAGGGCCTCTTCCAGATTAGGTACTAGAGCAGGTAGTAGACTGGGGCTGCAAAACTCTCACCACTATTATTCAAAGTGCATAAAGAGCTTGTTGAAGGACCATTTCTCTGGGTAGAAAATGCTTTCTGCCAGAACTTGAGAGTTGAATGAGGGATTTCCAATCTGAGCCTTACTTCATGGCCAGAAAACAACCTTGAAATACACAGGCAAAATATATTTCATATTTTCCTTCACTGGCTTATCTAGTTCAAGGTTAACAATTCACGTGCGTAAGCAAGTGCTCTTATAGCCCAGAGTGAGAATCCATATGGTCTGGTGTTCTACTTTTCCAGCAAAAGAGTAAAGTTAATAACATTAAAAGAAATTTAACACTCCAAAGTTAAGCACTCCAGATTTGTGATTCTTCCTCTTGCCTTATTTTCTATGAATCTTCCAGATTCCACAAAAAATAGTTCAGGAAGTCTGCAGATAGCAGCTTTATTTATTGGATAGCTTTCCTAAATTCCCAAACTATCTGTCCTCTACCCAGAATTTTGCAGAGACTGTTTGGAAAAACAGAATGCACAAATATTCTTTAAAACAGCAGAATAGCATATGCACAAAGGGGCCAAGTTTCAACAACCTTAGTATTTTTAGCTTCTATCTGAAGTTTTATACTGCAGAGTGTTTGTTTTTCCTTAGTTTAATGTAGCTTGAGAGATGAAGAAGAGGTTGTAATCTTAACTGAAGAAAAACAAAGTAGTGATACAATATAATTATCACCCTGTTTGAAGTGGAAGTAAAGCCGGTATCAGAACTAAGGGAATAGTGAGATTTAAACAGATTTCTCCCTTTAAATGTTCACCCAATATCCTTTAAATTCCATTTTGTTTCCTTTCCTCTCTGGTTATAATTAATGAAGAACTGAAAGGTGAACTGCAATT